GGCATGATTTCTTTTTCTGTTCTGAATGCACATTGCTCTTCAACAGCCCAGACACTGCTATGGTTTAAATATTTGTCCCCCTCTCAAATTCATGTTGAAATTTATCCCCAGTGTGGCACTCTGAGAAGCTGAGCCTTTCAGGGGTGAGGCAGAGCCCTCGTGAAGGGGTTAAGCCATTTGTGGATCACTGGAGTGGGACTGGTGGCTTTCTAAGAACAGGAAGGCAGGCCTGAGACAGCACACTCAGCCCCTGCCACGTGCTGAGAAGAAGGCCGTCACCACGTGCAGCCCCTTCATCTTGGACTTCTTGGCCTCCATGCTGTTGAGAAATAAATTTCAGTTCTTGTAAATTACGCAGTTTCACATATTCTAAGCAAAAGAAAATGGACTGAGACACATTTTCCCGTGTCACCTAGAGGCACTGTCTCTGCAGTTATTAAAAAACATTACCTTCAGTGTCACTATCACAGGCTGAATAGCGCTTATCCAAAATGCTCGGGACCAGTGGTGTGGAATTTTCTATTGTGATGATACGTCTGTGCTCCAGAAGTTTCAGATTATAGAGCATTTTGAATTTTCAGATTAGGGTGTTCAACATGTAACAGCTTCTCAAACTATTGTTCATAAGACTCACTTGGGGACCTTATTAAAATGCTGATTATGACCTAGGAGATCTGGATGGGGCAGAGACTGGGCACCTCTGACAAGCTCTAGCTGCTGCTCTGGGGACCACCCTGAGCAGCCAGGCTGCAGTGCATGAGGTTCGGAAACAGATGAACTTGAGTCCCCCACTTATAAGCTGAGTGGCCTTGGGGAAAATAATTCACTGCTCTAAGCCAGTCTTCCCGCCAGGCAAAATGGAAACAATAATGGCACCTGCTCTGCAAGACTGTGATGAGTACATGAGCCAGCCGCACAGGGCCTGGCAGGCAACAGACCACCTGCTAGCATATTTGGTAGGCTTAATAATGTCCCCCAAAGATGCCCAACATACCTACCCCCTGCAACCTGTGAACGTTATTACCTTATATGGCAAAAGCAGGACTTGCAGATGTGATTAAGTGAAGGATCTTGAGATGGAGAGATTATCCCAGATTATTGGAATGTGCCCAATAGAAGCAGTGGAAGAGTCACAGTAATAGAGAGAGTAGAGGATGGAGCAGAGGTCAGAGAAGAGAGAAGATGCAATGCCGCTGGCTTTGGAGATGGAAGAAGGGGCAAGAGAGAAGAAAGGGGCAGCCCTCTGCAGACTCACGTTGGACGTCTGATGTCCAGAACGTGAAGGGAAGGAACGTGTTGAAGTCACTCAGTTTGTGGCAACTTTTCACAGCAATGATAGGAAAGTAACCCATCATCCATTAGAGTAATGCTGATGCAAGCTCGCCTCCCTGTGCAGAGCAGGGGAGTTCTAAGGCTTCACCTGGACCATGCGACAGGGGCCCACGCAGAGGGGACACGGACAGCTCTCTAGGAGACGTTGTATGATGGGAAGAGTTCACCCCTACTGTCTGTTCTGTGTGATTACAGGAATTTTTAATGAACAGAGATGAACGTGTGTGTGTTTTTTACAAACTGTGCTAAAGGCTCCAAGGAACCCCTAATTGTACAACCCCATTCCAATCTGTCAGCTTTACACAGAATTGTTGAAATCTAACAAGGCTCCTGGGGACAGTGTCAGTGGGTCAACGTTTCAATGTCAATGGACTGACGAGAGCAACCCTGGGTTCACGAGGAAAGGGTGGAAATCAATGTTCTCGGTACTTATACAAATCTTCATTTGCTATTTATAATGTGGCTTACCCCATAGAGAAGCTTTATAAAACAAGAAAATACCAAGATAACCAAAAAGATGTTTGCACAATGAAAACGTGTCTCAAAAATAAAAGACAAAGCAGCTTGCATTTCTCGGGGTTTTCCCTGGGGCTTGCCACCAAGGGCTCCTCTTGCCATCCAAGTTTTTTTGCTTCCCTTACCAGACTCTAGCCCCTATCAGCACCTGGTCTCTATGCCCGTTACTATTCCACAGCCTCTAGCACTGTAACAAGCACTCAGTTTGCACACAGTAAATACATGTGGATAAATGAATATTATGATGGTTACTAATAACTGAAAAGTATAATAATACTTTCACTAAAAAAAGCATTACTCTGAATAGTTCTTTTTCTCCATTTTTAACTTAAATCTACTTGGCCCAAGATATTATTTATGGTAGAACTAAAAGTATGCTTTCTGATTTTATTTGCCTATTAATATGTGCACTTGATAATTAACAATGTGCTAAGCAGTCAGAGCAAATAATTACTTTTCTGATGCCTACTGCTGCGTATGAGCTAGAAGAGAGGAAAGCCACCTACTGCATATTAAAACATGGTAACTGGTTTTCAAATGTTCTGCTTAATCTCAGACCACAATATGCAAAACAGTTACAGCCCTTTCACTGGCTCTGTTAAAACCCTATAAACAATCCAAATTTTCAGAATAGATTATGATTCTGCTTGAGTTATGTGGAATATAAAATACATGGTGAAAAGTTTGCCAATTCACATTTACAAAACCTTTTGACCAACTGGTAGGACAGATCGTAAAAACCACATCTTTTAATTTATAATGTTTAATTTATGCTCAGTATATTTTATTTAAGAAGCAATGTAATTACATGGATAGCTTTTATTTTAAATCTGATTTTGAAATATAACTGAATACATTAGCAGAATTCAGAGCAACTTTGGTAAACATCTATGAGAACATGTTATATAATTCTAGTAAGCCCTGTAATATTCTGTTTTTAAGGAGAAGAAATCACTGAACAGAAAAATGTTAAATTTGAAATTTTATTTTCACGTGTCCCATAAAAGCAGATGTTTATTCACTGTGTGGTCCAGAGTGAGCACTCTAGCTGACATGCACATAGGGCCATACAATCCCAAAGAAACTGGTGAACTGGAAATTAGACCATTTGGAAAGTGGCATTAATCTGTTTGGTCACCGTATCATCTTAGTTCACCTGAGACAGTTCTGAATGCTGTTGTGAAGTCTGACTCCTTCTGAGGCCAAGGCATTCTGTAGTCACTTCCACACCTGGAAACCTAGGCCAAGAGCCAACGAGGCAGCCACATTTACAAGCAGCTAAAACTTTACCTCTCAACAAAACAGAACTCAGGACCATCCCTGTGAACGTTCTCTGCACCAAGCTGCAGAGATGTTCACTGCCTGTGCGAAGGTCTGGAGTGCTCTGTCTCTGTGCTATGTAGCCCCAGACTGCTGAGGTGTGAAATTCTTCCTGCCTCAGTGGGCTCTCAGCTCAGAATCTGAGCCCCTAAGAAGATGAGGGGTTTGTGCACACTCACCCAGTTCATCGATGGCAGGCATGGGCTGGCATCCCAGCCACCTAAGCTGTAGGGCAGGTCTTTGCCCAATGCCCTCATGCTCTCTTGCCCGTCCTGCCATCTGCCATGA